AATATCCAGAAACGTATGTAAGCCTTGCGACACCCTAAAGCTGTGTTTTTTCGTCAGGTTTTTCTGCAAAAGCACATGTTTTCTAGCCTTTTTTTACCTGTATCGGCTGTTTTCTCACAATTCTATTTTTTCCCACATTATCCCATTTTTCTACTAACTCGGTTTCTTGTTCAATTTCAATGTAACTTTCACAGGATACCAACAAAACCTAGTTCTGAATTTTGGCTTGTTGAAATTTTGATTAATGGAGCAGTTTTTGATTTATGGGCTTAGAAAGCATGAATTTTTCTTCTTTTTTTTTCACTTCTTTTGCAACATTAGAATTGTAAGTGTCATAAAATAAAAAAAACTAAAGCATATATAAAAAATTGAACAAACCAAATTTAAGAGCTACATATTTACTGTTGGCATGCCAAATTAGAAGTGAATCGGTTAATAAATAAGGGAATAAAATGGGATTGAAAAAGGTATACAAAATGCAATATGGTTGCCGTTTCCATAGCAACCGATTCACAATATACTTTTTGAATTATTGATTTAAAATCCCCAAATAACACATGATGTCCCACAGCAAATATGGGCACTCTAGGCCTTGTAATAGCCAAAATAGCCCTCAGTTCCCCTCCAGCCCTTAACGTTGAACCTACACGAGCGACCAGGGATTGTCTGCCGATGCCGGAGGCAAAGAATTTTATTTTCACAGCATGGCGACAGTGACACGGTCGGTCCGTTCTTCACTTTCACTCACTTTGGGCATTCTCTATATCCGATTTCCCCATGAAACCGGTTAGTTCTATCTACTTTTTTATTACTTAAACATACAGCGTTTCAATCGGGACCACAGAATATCGTTCACTTTAACCGATTGTTCAGATAAAGCGTGTTCACTTTAGGCGGACTCCACTGTACACGCTTTTAGCACAATGCGGTTATCCCGAAAAATGCTGTTTTGAGAAAACCGAAGGTAAAGTTTTTGCCCCTTGTTCAATTTCTTTAAAATACAAGGAGGGTTTTCTCTATAACTAAACAAATATACACCAATCAATGAAACCAAAGTTCTCCTATAGGTAGGACAATGCCTACTTTTGGTGTAGGTCAAAATTTCTGGAAACCCCCGAAATCTGGGTTAGCCGCTCGTCCTTAAAAGCGACAATGCAGTAACAGACGATCAGGAAACCACCAGTGAGCCGTGTGCACAATACTCCAAACTCAAACTGTTTCATTTGGGGCTGTTCAAATTTGATTTTACACTCTTTGGGGGAATGTTACCCCCCCCCCC